GGCTAAGAAATAGAAATTTTATTCACTTAGTGTGTATATTAAGAGCAAGGGAAGGAGAGAAGGAAGAAGAGAGGGAGGAAAAGAGAGAGGAGAAAGAAGGAAAGGAAGGAAGGAAGAAAGATGACTTCAGAGATAACAATGACAGAAAACCCCAGCCAGGGTGGGGTGTCAGATGAGACTTCCAGAATGGGATGACACCTGAACAGAGTCCTGACAGCTGAGTGGGAGTTATCCAAGGAGGAAAGGTGTGGGTGGGTAGAGATTTGTGGAGAGGGCTTTCCAAGCGGAGGGAAAAGCCTGGAGATGAGAGGGTGGGGCACACGTCAGGAACTGCAAGTAGTTAGATGTGTTGCAAGTGAGAGGAGGGAGTTGGTGAGGGATGATGTTGGAGGCATAGGAAAGGGAAGCTGCACGAGGGGCTTTCGCTATGCTAGGGGATTTGGACTTGATCCTCATGACCATGGGGAGTCCAGAAAGATTCTAAGGGGTACAGTGTCATGATCTGATGTGTGTCTAGAGTCATTCTGATGGCAGTGTGAAGCGTTGGTTGGAGGTGAGTAAGGCTGAGAGAGGAAGGCCAGGTAGAAGGCAATGGCAGGAGTCAAAGGCACACAATGATGCCAAGACTGTGGTGTGAGGGTGGAACTCAGTATAAGTGGGTGGGTTGGAGGGATATTAAGGAGGTAGAATCAGCTTTTGACTGCTCTGGTTATTATTTCTTTCTAAAAAATGTTTTAATTTTTAAATTTTTTTCAGCTTTATTGAGGTGTAATGGACAAAATTATAAGCTATTTATATTATTTTATTTTTAGGATTTTTTATTTATTTGATATAGAGAGAGTGCATGAGTAGGGGGAGAGGGAGAGGGAGAGGAAGAATCTTCAAGCAGACGTCCCATGGAGTGTGGAGCCCAACATGGGGCTTGATCTTATGACCCATGAGATCATGACCTGAGCCAAAACCAAGAGTTGGACGCTTAACGGACTGAGCCACCCAGGCGCCCCAAACTGTAAGCTATTTAAAGTGTACAACTTTATGACTTGATACACATATGCATTGTGAAAAGATCCCCCCCTATGGAGTTAATGAATTAGTTAACACATTCATCACCGTACATATTTACTTTTGTTTTTGGTGAAAACATTCAAGTCCTACTCTCTCAGCAAATTTTAGTTATATAGTGTAGTGTTATCACCATGTTGTACATTAGATCCTCAGACCTTATTCATTTTATAACTGAGATTTGTACCCTTTTACCAACCTCTCCCTATTTCTCCCCCACCACCCCCAACCACCTGGCAAACACTTTTCTCCTCTCTGTTTCTATGAGTTTGACTTTTTATTTATTTTTTAAAAAGATTCCACATATAAGTGATACCATGTAGTGTTTCCTATCTCTGTCTGGCTTATTTCACTTAACATAATGATCTCCAGATTCATCCATGTTGTTGCAAGTGGCAGGATTTCCTTATTTTTTAAGGCTGAATAATATTCTGCTATCTTTATATCACATTATCTTATCCATTTGTCTGTTGATGGTCTCTTAGGTCGTTCCTATATCTTGGCTATTCTGAATAATGCTGCAATGAACAGGAGAGTACTGGTATCTCTTCAAGATAATGGTTTCATTTCCTTTGGATATATACCCAGAAGTGGGATTGCTGGATCATATGGTAGTTCTATATTTAATTTTTTGAGGAACTTCCATACTGTTTTCCACACCAATTTACATTCTCATCAACAGTGCACATAGGTTCCCTTTTCTCCACAACCTTTCCAGTGCTTGTCAACTCTTCTCTGTTTGATAATAGCCATTCTCGCAGGTGTGAGGTGATATCTCATTGTGTTTTTTTTTTAAATTTTTTATTGTTATGTTAATCACCATATATTACATCATTAGTTTTTGATGTAGTGTTCCATGATTCATTGTTTGTGCATAACACCCAGTGCTCCATGCAGAACGTGCCCTCTTTAATACCCATCACCAGGCTAACCCATCCTCCCACCCCCCTCCCCTCTAAAACCCTCTTTGTTTTTCAGAGTCCATCGTCTCTCATGGTTTGTCTCCCCCTCCAATTTCCCCTCCTTCATTCTTCCCCTCCTGCTATCTTCTGGTTTTGATTTGCATTTCTCTGATTACTGATGCTAAGCACCTTTTCATGTACCTGTTGGCCATTTGTATGTCTTATTTGTTACCTGTTTGCTACCGCTTAGGTCTGTGCAATGCTGAAAAAAATAGGGATATGACTTTCTCAGCTTTCTTCCCTATATAAACATCTCTCCTCATGTCTTCTGCCAAAGGCCTCCTATAAAACAATGCCTTTTGTGACTACGTGGGTGGGATTTCATATACTTGCCTGAATTTGGTGGCAAAAATATCTTTAACATACAGTGTTCAATGGAAGGATTCCATTATTTAGATAATTTTGTTTGGTAATACTTGCTATCTCACCCTCTGGTTACTACAAGTGGGTTGCAGGCTTTTTGCCTGCAGCATTATGGAGGACATTCTGGTTGTCTGTTTCAAGCTCAGTCATGCTGAAAAAATATCCTCCAGGAGTCTAGCTAGTGTCTTTGATGGCACTTCAACAACAAGATCAGTGATTAGCAAACATTTGGGTTCATCAGAATCCCCCGGGGAACTTGTTAAATGAAAGATTTCTAGGCCCTGTCTTCAGGTACTCCAATTCCAGTATGTGTGGGATGGGGCCCAGAATCTCCATTTTTAATAAGTGCCCTTAGGTGATTCTGAAAGAAATGGTCAGATAATTACATTACCCACTCCCCCCCCCCGAAAACCCCTTTTCGATAATTTGATTGTTTATATTTTACCTGATTTCTGAAGTGGAACTTGAAATGAATGTATTACAACAAATAATGAATAAAAAACATGATTTTTGTATTACGTTCATTTCGCTATTTTGTAAGCTCCAGTCAATTTAAAATAATGAAGGTATGGAGTTTAGGTGAATGGTAAGGTATTCCAGGATGTTAAAAGTGGCTTTGCATGACATTTAGAAATTAGAATGTCCCGATGATAGGGCAAGGAGCAGTTGTGTCTTGCTGTGGGACTTACAGAATGTGCATATGTTAGAGGTGGAGGTGAGCTCCCGAGCTGTGAGACCTGGTGTGCGTTCTGCAGGCAGGCAGCATTAGCATCACCCGGGGGAGGCTCTTAGAAATGCACATTCTCAGCCCCACCCTGACCTACTGAATCAGATTTTGGGGGGCTTGGGGGTTTCTGTGTTTTTACAAGCTCTCCGGGTGATTCTGATATACAACGGAATTGAGAATAACTGGTCTAGTGCACTCCTGTTTCTCCATGGAGACTCTATGTGTGGGTTTTTAAAGTTAGGTAGTGTGTCTTATATTGTGGAGATATTGCCTTGACTTGTTTCTCTAGAATAAATCCACATCTTAGAGTGTATTTAATTAGGATTTAGGTTCACCCTAAAGGGACAGCAAAACCAAGCAACAGTGGGTTTAAAAGGTAGAAATTGCTTTCTCTCTTAAAGTACAAGTTAAGAAGAGTGATCCAGGAGTGGTTTGACCCTCCACAATATTAGAGTCCCAGGCTCCTTTTATTTTATTCCTCAACCTTGCAAGCATTGCATTCCCAAGTCCACCCATCACCTTAGAAGACTGCTCTGTCCGGAGCACAGACATCTACGTCCCAGTCAGCAGAAAGGGGAAAGGCGAGGTAGGGAACTTCACAGGACATTCAGATACCACTGCTCCTTACATTCCACTGGCCAGGGCCAAACCATTGGTCCTCTTTAGCTTTGCAGAAGGTGGGAATGTGGAGTCTTGATTCTAACAGGTGATGTGCCCAGCTGAAATTCAAGAGTTTTGTTTTTGAGGACGATGTGGAAAAGAGAAATAGGGTGAGGAGTAGTGGGATGGACAGGTTGTTTCTGTCACCGTGGGAGTGTATACTTACCCGGGATGTGTACATTTCGAATAGGTTCCTTTTCTTCTTCTTCTTCTTCTTTTTTTTTTAAAAGCCTTTACTTCTCTTATATATAGTTATTTATTCATGTTTTCCATCTTTCACTTCAGATTTTAATCTGTTTCTTTAGTCATTCTCAATGACTTGGGTAAAAGGATGCTGAATCCTACAGAAGTTACTATGATGAAATGATTCTTATTGTATCTATCTTAGATATCTTTATCTATCTCTCATCTATCTATCATCTATCATCTTTGTATCTGTCTGAATGTGTACATAATGTTCCCATGACAAGCTTTTGCTTCTGTTAAATATTTTATTTACCAATTTGTTATCTATGTGAATGTATAAGGAAATTCCTATTTTTTAAAATAATGCTTCTAATGGCCCACTTTCTCAGAATTTATAAGTTATAAGAGAATGATTCCCGAACCTTTAGGGAAATATCAAATTTACATGATAATATCAATGACTTATTTTAGGCCACTTTAAATAATTCACCCCTCATTTTTTCCAACTTAATATTTCCTGACATTTGAACCAGACAATGGCTGAATACAAATGTTTTATGTGCTCTTTAGTGGAGACACCTACTGTAAAATGGTTATTGAAAAGCCTATGAATCATCCCTTCTCTAAAATATTCAGTTCTTTAAGCTGATTGCTATTAGCTGTTCATATTATTTTAATTAGAAGAAAACATGGCTGCTGAAAATCAGCTGAAGGTTCTATAAATAAAAGTATCCATCCTGCAGAGGCAAATTTTAATTAACCTTTCAGTATGCCAACCTTTCCACTAGCATTTTTCAGGCCTTGCAGCCATTCATTTTGTTCAAAAGCCATATGGGCTATTTTTCATCTGTATATAATCCAAAGCTAAGAGAGAGTGTTCCTGGAATACAAACGCACCGTTTATCAGCCGTCACTTAAATACCTTTATTTAAATGAAAAGACACACAAATGTAATACAGTGTTGTGTGGTGCAGGGGGAAATACACAAGGTGGAGTAAAATAACTCTCTCTTCTTTTTCCCATTTGTCTCCTCATTTTAGTCACAATTTGTGTCCTGACCTGCTCTGGACAGGTAAGGTTTCTTAACGATAGACCACTTACTGGCGATTAAAGCAACACCAGGCTGTAATTACTGGGAATCAGTCCACTTTTCACTTCTAGTCATTATTCATATGAAAGGTGTTTTCATAAGCTATTTGTTGGAAAGCCATAGATGACATAAATAAGCATTTTCTGCTGATTGATTTTGTATGTAGCTGTGACTGGGATTGTGGAAGAAATGGCAGATCAAAGTACAAAAGGTGGCTGGACCTTAATTTGCTTCAGTCCCTGGTTACCAGAAAAATGAGTTCTCAGGAAAATGTTTCTAATTGTTATGCAGTCAATGAAAGCCATCAAACACAACCATAGCAACCACTGTGAGAACCTGACTTAACAAGCAAAGAGGACTGATATTAATTCAGTTTTTATGGTTATAGTCAAGGTAAATGTGATATTTTTCTATTTAAAATTTACAACTCTCTGTGATTATTATAGTAATCGAACATCAACTATATCAAGTTTGTTAAACTTACAAAAGAACCCAATGATAAAGCACTGCAGTTTGCTAATAATACCCTAGATCAAGCATGGTGATTTGGTGAGTCCAGTTTTGAGTAGAAGACACAAGGCTGACCACCAAATGCTTAAAACAACTCATTGCTATGATCCTGCACTATCTGGGCATTTCTACTTCTCTGACCACTGCTTTTCTGCCTTTTGGTTATATCTCTTTCTGAAACTCAGTTCCTTACAGGTAAATGCTTTATAATCTATGCATAAACCAATATATATGTGTTAGGTATTGGGCAGGACAGAAAATTAGACAATCAGGGCTAAAATGGTTAAAACCAAGGGTTCAGTGAATATAGAACCTCATGGTAAAGACACAGTGAGAGTCTAGGGTGAATCAAAGGAAACAGAAAGGATAGATGTGGATCTGGAATGGGCAAGCCATACAGCCAGGGTGGTAGGCAGCTCTGACATAGCTCCCAACCCTCTCTCTCTCCTCCAATCTTTGCAAATACTTGCCCTCCCCCCTACTCCAAGCATGCTTGGTTGGTTATCTCTGAAATGGCTTCCAGTGATCCTCACCTCTGGGTATTTACACCCTTGGATAATCCCTTCTCCTTGAATGGGTCTAGTGACTTGCATCTGATGAGATGAACACAGCAAAATTAATTGGCTATTACTTCTATGATCTGATTACAAAAGAGTGAATTCCATTTTACTAGCACTCTCTCTCTTGCTTTATAGCTTGTTTCACTTTCGCAAAGCAAGCTGCAAGTTTGTGAGATGCCCTCTGGAGAGGTACACATAGTAAGAACCAAGGGAGGCCTTCTGGCCAACAGCTCACGAGGAACCAAGGCCTCAGTCCAGCAGCTATGAAGAATTGACTCTTTAAAAAAGATCCTTTCCAGTTGAGGTAAGCCCTGGGAGTTAAGCCATGCCTAGACTCCTGACCCACAGAAACTGTGAGATAATTGCTATTGTTATTTTAAGCGACTAAGTTTGGTTGTACCACCTTGTTAAATACTGCAGCCAGATTCTGAAACGGTTATACAATGTGGCCACATAGAGGGGGAAAGGGTTGGAGACTGGAAGGGAAGGGTCCTTTCAGCAGAGGGATCAGAGATCAACATTCAGAGGTCAGGAAGAGTAGAAGGGAAGGAGGGCGAGGGAGAGAAACAAAGAGTAAGCATAAAGCACACTTTCCCTTAAAGGTCAATGTTTAAACTGGGAACAGGACAAGGGCAAAATGAACATCATCTACAAACAAGACGGAAGAGTTGGTTGTATCACAGTACAACCAGAGACAAACTTGGCTTTCAAAATGGAGCATGTCACAAGATCTCCTGCTCCTCACAGGTTACTACAGACCCAAGGGATGATAATTAGAGAAGAATAATCCATTATATTCACAATAGATCTCTCCACAGGAGCCTTGGTTTAAGAACTTGCAAATATTTGTACCCTTGCAGGACAAACAGAACTCAGACTTTCGAATCACAAATTATATACCTCATATTTCATGCCCTATCATGTTTTATCTTTTATATTAGATTGTAGCATTGTCTTTTTCCTCTGACTCATGCAGATGTTACAGGTTGATGTGAGTGGGGTGTGTGTATAACATAATCTGAAAAAGTACACCGTGATGTGCTATCTGAAGCCCCTTACTGCAGCTGTCCCACTGAGACGCCTCTCACTCACAAAGCTTGGTGTTTGCAGGGTATGTCACTCAGAAAAAAGCCATGTTTCTGCAGACATCTGTGGTTTAGCTGATAATCACAAAGAGCTTTCTATAGTTGTCATCCAACTTGGGGTCCAGAGAATTCTCACAATTCCATCAGGGACTGTTGAGAGAACTGCTTTCAGGAATATGGTGAGTGATAATCTTAGATCTCAGATATAAAAATTCCCGTTAGGTCTTTCGAATTGGAAGGAAGACTTGCTTTAGCAGTTTGTATCTACTTCCAGTGAATGAATAGCTTCATCAAAATGACTGGTAGGCTCTCAGCACACCCTACTTCTTGTGTCTCTCAGATTTTCCAAAAGAGATTTGGCTCCAGTGTGGGTGGAAATGACCCGTATATTCAAGATCAGAGTCTCCGCTATCCTTTGCTCCAGCTACTGATTTGTGCCCCCTGAAAGAGACAGCTGAGATAATCCTACTGATGCTCCACTGGGCCTACCCATGGGTTAGAGCTGAACCATATTTAGTGTCATAGACTCTAAGTGTTGGCATTTTCTCAATATTTATTCTAGTTTCTTACCAATCAGTACAGCCAATGGGTAGACTGTATTCTCTTCATACCCTGCTCGAGATGAATTCACCAGCTTTGGCAGCCAGGGATCCTTGTGACCCACTTCAAGTGCAGGTTTCTGCTGCCCCTGGAACCACAACGTGTTCCTAATACTTAAGTCATGGTGCCTAACGGACACTTTCTGACAACTCACTGGAATTTTAAAAATCTCTCTTGATTTGCTCATCTCTTAGGACTTGGCTTCCATGGGAAGATAGGAATGGGCATTTTCTTCAGGCATGTCATTATAGATCCAAACTCCAACTATAGGCATATGAAGATATGTTTATGAAACAACTTTTGAGTATCGATTTCAAACATTATATGAACTTTCTCTGATAAATAAAAATTTATCTCACTTATACTACTCCCCTTTTCCTTTCAATATAATTCTGTTACTTTTTATTTTCTGTATTGGTTACCTTGTAATTTTAAATACTATGCTTAAAATTTTGTCTTGATTCATCATTTATAGATTGTTCCTCTTTCTCCCTTACTATCCCAGATAAGCTAATATTTAAGTTATAAGGAAACAGTTTATTTGTCAAACTCTGGCACGAATGCCTGTGTAGAATTATTTTTTTCCATTCTGCGTTCCTTTCCAACAATGCTTAAGAAAGAAAGGATAATTTTATGAATCTTTGCATATATAAAAATATCTTTATTCTACTCTTATCCTTGAATGAAAAAATTCTAGGTTGAAAATTACTTTCTTTCTGAATCATCAGGTGCTGCTGTTGAAAAGCTTGATGTAATTCTGATTCTTACTCTTTGGATGTGACTTATTTTTAAAATTATTATTATTATTATTATTAATTGTTTAGGGTTGTCTTTTTAACATGGTATTCTGAAATGTCATGATAATATGCCTTGTTTTGGATATATAAAAAAATAATTGTGCTGGTACATTTTGGGGTTCTTTTAACCTGGAAATGCACATCTTTTAGTTTTGGAAAAGTCTGCTTTTAAAAAATATTTTTATACCCATGACTTTCCTTCTATGCTCTTTAATGAAACTCATAGTAATTAGTCATTTGAGCTCTTGATTTGGTGCTGTTAATTCTTAGCTCTTCTCTCGTATTTTCCTTCTTCTTGACATTTTGTTTACTTCCAGGCTTCTGTAGAAATTTTTGTTTCAACTATGTTATTTTAGTTCTTCCTTCTAAGTGACATCCATTTTTATTGATGCAAAAACTACTGTCTCCCTGATACATTAATTTGCAGCTTGGTTTTAATTTTGAAATGTTCTTGCATTTCATGCATTCTCTCTCTCTCTGGATCTCTTTTCTTGGTTTGCTTACTTGGCCTCTCTCTTACATTCTGGAGACTTTCCGCACATGTTTCCTGATCCCTGATGACCATTCCTATTTAACAGCAAGGCCCTTAAATTTTGATTGGAAGCTCTGTGATCTCTGGTGCTTTCAGTGAGTAATTCTCACTCTTGTGAAATTGGTCTGAATGATGGTCAGAGTCACTCAGGCCTCAAATATCCATGCAAGGAGGTCAATCTCTGGAATCTTTTAATTTCTCCAGAAAAAAATTCTCCACTCTTCTACATGCGGCCTGCCCATTGGTTTCTAATCATCTGTATAAGGTGGGGCAGGTCTTGGGATCAGTCTGTCATGTTTAGAGTGGTTTAGTAATTACTCTTATTTTCAATTATGTACCTCATCCTTACTCTACTATGTGCCTCATATTCCAGTGATTTTATCTCCACTATTCAATATTATCAGTGACAAAACCTTTATACCTAAGCCTTTCTGTCCCTGGGGATAAGGTACCTGACCACTTGTATTCAGTGTGTGGAAGTGGAAAAGGGAAATTGAAGGTGCTGAACATAGACTGTCAACCTATCTTCTGTATCCCTCCTTCACCCCTCCCCACAACTGTTTTATTCTCTGTAATTTTCTGCCTTCCTCTGTATCAAATGCTTCCAAATCCTGTGCTTTGCTGGGTTTCTGAAGGGGCTGGTGGTGGAAACTAGCCCGTTTTTCACCAACCTCTCTGCATGCCACTAGCCTGGGGTTCTATCTCCCAATATGTTTTTGCTGTGTATTGGCTAAAATTTTTCTGAGATCTCTAGTTTCTTGATCTCAGAGCTAATAAACACATGTTCAATATAGTAGTCTTAACTTGAATATAAAATTATATATATATATATATATATATGGATCCATCTATTGAGCATTTATTATGTGCCAGTCATTGTACTAAGCACTTTATGTTATTTCATTTAATATTTCTAATTTCCATTTTACAAATGAAGAAACCAAAGATCAGAGAGATAATAAAGAATAATATAATTATAAGATGTCCAATACAAATTTTTATTCCAATGAGAATTAGCTGCTTTACTTTAAAATTTTTTAAGCAACAATAAGAAAATAGACATATGAGTGGAGTGTCTTTCATCCCACAAAGTACTAGCCTTAGCTAATGGCAAGACTATTAGTATGTGTTCTGATGATAAGTTTATATATTAGGCATTTTATGTCTAGTTGAATGACAGGAAATGTAACTTCCAATAAATATTTCAAATTTGGAAAAGAATGGATAATTTATTACTGTGGATTTTTTCAAAGACTTACTGAGGGCATATCTGAAGGATACGTATCCTTTCCAGTGTAAATCTCACCTACAAGGGTTGAATTCTGATCAGGGCTCATTAGTGAGTAAAAACTATGCTGTACCTTATGACATAAAGACTGTGGACGACAAGATACAAATGAATAGAAAAAATGTTCTGGCGAGGAAAAGGATGCAAATGTCCTGGGATCCCACTCCCAACAAACTCAGTCCTTTTTTTTTCTCAAGCAAAAAGAATCTTGATCTCACTAAACAGAATGCTTAAACCTCACACAGTTAATGATAGACAGTGCTCAAACTGCTGTGTGCATTTTGAGTCTTCAGCATAGCTGTAGGCTTACAAATATCCAGCTACTTTAGAAAAAATTTTCTTTATCATTCATAAAAAATGCATCAAAACTCTTTCACCAACAATGAAAGATTTTTTTCCTAAGGCAGAAGAATAATTAGCCTGATTCTTGCTTCCTTAGTCCTATTCTTGCAATCAGTCAAAATAGAACCAGACTTGAGATGAAGGCATGTATTACCTTCAGGGTCCTTTCCTAGGAGGGCAAAAGAGGAGCTTTCTTCCATCCTAAGTTTAGGAACTACCCTACAAAGACCCAGAGCTAGAAACACTGGAATTTTGTACTATTCTTTTTTGACTCACTAATCTCCTGTGTAACAGCTTTTCTGG